AATTTTGACAATTTAGGGGTTTCAAAGGCTTATTTAATCGATTTTAGAGTCCAATAATATGTAGAAAATACATATATTTTTTTTCTCCCCGACGAAGTGTGCTTTTTCTCCCCGATGGCGGGGGGGGGGGGGGGGCCTCCCCCGAAAAAAAAAAAAGGAGCTCTCCCCGAAAAAAAAAAAATAATATTAATTGTTTTTAAATGTATAAATGGTTTGGCTCCCGACTATTTTGCTGACATGATTCGGCCTTCTCAGTATATTCTTGGGCGTAATTTGCGCTCTTGTGACAAACTATTTCTACATCAACCAAAGTCATAACTCTTACGGGGATCGAGCTTTTAGTATTGCTGCCCCACGTCTTTGGAACGCTTTGCCTTGCTCCGTCATACATATTAGATCTTTAAACTTGTTTAAAAAAACTTTAAAATTACATCTCTTCTCCGAGGCGTATGAAGAACCTTGATGTTTCTCTGTTGAATTTATATTATTTACAAAAAAAAAAAAAAAAAAATTAAATTAAAAATACCACTTTTCTCTGTCAACGCAATGTTGCTCCTTTTGCAGTGCACACGGTAGTGGAGCCCTGGAATTATCCTGGGGCGGAAGGTGCTGATGCTCAATATACTGCCTTTGAGTATAGTGAGAAGTGTCCAAAAAAACAGGTTTGCGAGATAAGCTTGCCCAAAGCAATTTTATTGCATTTTCTGGATATTTTGGGTATGCTGAATCCAAAAATGCAAGGGTCCATTTTTTTCAATATCGTCTTGGCCGCCATATTGGAATTTCAAAATGGCTGCCATTTTAACCCTAAAAATGACCATAACTCTACTATTAAAGCAGACTTAATTTCAAGTGTTAACCCTATGTTTTCAATGTCAACCTATTTGATTTTAATATTGTCATAGACCATAGATGGCGGCCATTTTTCAACAAAATCTTCCTGGAAAACAGTTATTTCAATTATCATGGTGTTTACAACAATATAAATTACACTGCATGCTTCAACCCTGTGCCTACATAGCCAATTACACGCAGGGCGTTTATGGGCGAATCCATTTTGTGCTCAAGGGGTATGTTTAAAATAAATAAATATAAATAAATTCAGGAAGAAATTACAAACCTTAAAGAAAGGCTGTCTATCAACAAATGAACTATAAAATATACACAAATACATATACATGTGACTTAAACTTATATACCCGATAATACACGCAGGGTATGTATGGGCGATTCCATTTATCCTTGAGGGGTTTAAAATATATAAATATATGCATGATACTTAAGCTTATAGAGCACACAATTAGGCATCCAGGATGAGTTTAACCTCCACCAATGTAGAAACAGCGTCTTTGTTACATCTGGGTACAAACAGGCACCCTGTTAGGCAGTATGTTCCACTTCAGGATATAGGGTTTGGAGATTTAGGGAATGGAGTTTTTGGTCGTGGGAAAAAATCCTGCAACACTGACAGGAATTGAACCCAGGACCCTGGGATTGGAAATCAAGCATCTTAACCACCAAGCTATTCAACTCCAACTTTATGCTGCTGCACTACTGTGCACTGCAAAGAGAACGGCGCCAATTAAAGTATACAAACAAAGAATGAGAAAGTTTAACAGGAAGTGTAGTAAACGAGTATCATTATTGTATAACAGAAGGGAAAAACCAATGAAATTGTGATACAGTAGTTGATACGGAAGACGTTGAATAGAAGTAAACAATGAGAATAATCTTCCAGAACTACTGTATCACCATTTCATTGGTTTTTCCCAACGTCGGCAAACAAACATTTTACGAAAGCTGCAATGTCGTCGTCGTCGTCATCGTCGTCGTCGTCGTCGCCGTCGCCGTCATCGTCATCGTCATCATCATCGTCATTATTATTATTATTATTATTTATTATTATTATTATTTATTATTATTTATTATTATTAATTATTATTAATTATTATTATTATTATTATTATTATTATTATTTCGTGCTTACACCTTGTTCATTTGCGCCTTATAAATTGACCTATTATTATTATTATTATTATTATTATAAAATATAGATTTTTTTTTCATTTTCTAACGAACCTTAAAAGTTCTTTTTTGAGTTGAGCAACCAAATGTCGATTGACGTCTGTATACGTGCGTCTGTAAAGTTTCCTTGAAACCCACCCTCGAGCATGCAGAAAAAATCGCTTGCATTCGTGAATTCTGTATTTAAGCATATGGGGGGAGGTAGGCACTCTTAATGAAGCGACGTTCTAGTTCTCTTTATGTTGACCACGAAGATGTATAGTAAGTGTAACTGATTGGCTTACGGTAAACCCTCAAACTAGCATAATATAACCACATTTAAACTCTAATTAGACTAGAAAAAAAATCTGAAAAAATGAGTTAGGGGGAGTGGAATGTTAGAAGCAATCCACATAGCCAGATATCCAAATTAATCCTTTCTGGTCACCCTAAGACACTTGATTTTACGGCTTGTATACAAATTTGGGCCATTTTTCAAAATGGCCGCCAAATTTATCTCAAATGTGCATAAAATTGGAACTAAATAAGCTACAGATGTAATTTTTTGTCTAAACTCATAATTTCTAGACAGGCAACAAACTAGACATATAAAAACTACTGTCACTCAAGACAGAATGGAACATAATTAAAAAATTAGTGTTTATTTGTTTTTAAAATAATTGCAAAATATACTTAAAATGTAGGGCCTACATAAAATAGGAACAAGTATAAGCTACTAGTACAGTTTTCTATATAATCCAGATAAATTTTTGTGCAAAAATAGATTTTATTGACTAATTTTATCATTTTTACTGCGCTGAATTCAAACAAGTTAGGTGACATTTTTGTCCCAACGTCATCGGTCGCCATTTTGAATTTCAAGATGGCTGACGCACCACATAAAACATGGTCATAATTGGTGTCAAAGGAAAGGGAATTATACACTGATCGTTTATTGTCATTACACCTGAACAACATAATACATATTTACAGCGATATAGACCAATATATAAAGTCATATGAAAAAAAATATAAAAAATCAAACTTACCAAAAGTTGTTGTGTTTGGTATCATTTTAAAGCTCTGCCAATGATGAGTTATGTTTTCCGGTATATACATGTCAGAAACTGTGTAGTTTTTCATATATTGTCCTGTAAATCTAATTATGGCATACTGTATACAAAAATAAACAGGACCCAGTTGCCTAATGTTCGTGAGCTCTCGGGGTGGAGGTGGGTGGGTTCTCTTAATTCTAACTAGCATTTTACTATCACGCACATAATACATGTGCTTTATGGGCCAAGTCCCAGTTCAAATGGGTCCTTGAGAAGCCACGGAGGCCGAGCCCTTCTTACTACTGTACTACCCATCACTCTACTAAAACGCCTTTTCCGAAAAAAAAAAACAAAAACAAAAAAACCAAATAGAACAAAATCCCACAAACACACTCTTGACTGATTTATTAGAAGGGGTCAGTCCAACTACGACCCATCATTTTATTATGGAGGTTTGACCAGATATATGTACACCTGTGTGCTTTCTGGGGAAATGCTTAGTTCCTCCGAGTCCAAATGAACCCCGGATGGGCCAGGGGCCCCACTCTTACTTCATGGTGGCCAAGGCAAATACAGTACTGTATATTGTGTTTTCCTATTTAGGCCTATTGATGATTCTGCATACAGTAAATACTTGTACGCCATTAATTATGTCAAATAAACAAGTAAATACTTGTAACTACTGTATGAACAATGGTACCGTTATGTTACGTGCTGTTTGATTGGCTGATTGATTTGTTATAACATTAATAGGCATGGTCCTCCCAGTGGTGCAACAACGAGTCGTGAGTCCCGGGCCGAAACATTATGTTAGGAGCACCATGCATATCAGTAAAATATTTTTGCTCACGAAGTGACACCGGGTGGGTAATCCCTCTAGAGATAAGTGTTAAGGATGAAAAGACTTTAATTATTAGACAATGCCAAAAAATGTTGTATGAATAATATTTTGCACACACATTTCTAATTTGAATATTTGCGTGCAACATATATATATATTAGGTATGTGCATATGCACGTGCATTTTCTTGGCTTTGCTAATACAAATAAGTGTTATCAAACAATCGTTCAATCAATCGTTTCAGGGTGGGTCCAGGAGACATGGGTCTATCCCAACCCCCAAAAAATAAAGAAGAAAGAGAAAAGAAAGACCAGAAAGAAGGGAGCATGACTTCACTGTAGGCCTATTCCAAAACAAGCTTTTTTTTTAAATGTCTGTGGTCTCCACCATTTCTAAACAAAATTCTTTCTCTATATCTGTCCCTTATGGGTTAATGGACACATTCGGTGTAAACACCAAGGAAAACCCACAAAAGTCGGAAGAATATTTGTTTCCAGTGAGGTCCTCCTGGTGGTGATTGGGCACC